TTGTAATAAGATGTTTTGCTGTTTTCACACCACCGAATAGAACAGCACGGCATTGATAGAGATTTTATCTTTATTACAATAAATACAGATTTTTTTTGGAACATACGGAGACGCACGCACAGGTCAGTAGTTGGCCTGTCTATATTTCAGTGTAAACGGGAGTTGATATTTATAAGAGCTGCATCGCTTATGTGTTACCAGGAATGTATGACCCTTATTTCGTCTCTATTTCTGGTTATATGCTCGATGGCGCCAGTATAACCTGACGCATAGCCAAGCGATGTTTGACAAGACCTATGCCTCTATCACTTAGAGGATGGAAAAAAGTGGTCTAAGCTCTATCATGAGGTTTTGACAGTTATCGTTAACGACTGCGTAAAATCTTTGTATACAAAATGTTGTTTCTTCTTATGACCGCCAGGGGCGCTGTATACAAAATTGTGAAGTAATTTACGCGATCGCATGCGCCAACTGTCACAGTAAATTCGTGGTACACTGTGTTTTAAGCAGGAATTAATACGAGTATTTATGATTCCTAACAGCCGGTAGAAAAAGTTTTATGTCTGTGTAATAAGAGCGAAAAAGCATTTCGCGTCGGCGCGGCTATCTGAACTGAAACAAAAAAACCCTTCATCTTTTTAGCTCTTATTGCATGGACATCAAGCTTTTTCTGATCAGCACAAGCTAGGGGATGCAATACCGGGGTCTTCGAATACCGGGATCCCTCACCAATTTCGCGGGATCCCGCGGTATTTACGGGATAACGGGACAATTGGTTTTGTATTGAGAAATGGAAAAATCTTTCGTAGCGTTCGGGTGAAAATACTTATTTACAACAGCTCAGTTAAGACTGTACTTGAATATGGAAGTGTGGTGTGGCGACCCCACTATGCTGTTCACTCATTGCATTTGGAGCGTGTCCAAAAACGCTTTTTATGGCTTTTAACTTTCTGTGCTGGTCTTTCCAAAAAACTTAAATCTTACGATAGGAGACTTGCGCATTTTAAAATTACTCCCCTTTCGAAGCGCCGAGAACTATTACATATGGTTTTCCTTTATAAAATTATTCACAACAAGGTTGACTGTCCACAACTGCTTGGTAATTTAAACTTTAAGATTCCCGCCAGACTTCCGAGATTTCAAATAAGGCTTTTTCACCCACCTCGTCGTAGAACAGTATTAGGTTCCAATTCCCCCATAGCTCGTACGTCCAATTTATATAATGACTGCTCCAAACATGCGGATATTTTCGTTGACTCACTGCTAGGTTTCGAAAACAAAATTCTTAATTTTCTTGGTTCGGACACATAGCATACTCTATTATTTAGTATCTGAATCGTGTTCTATATTTTGCTTATAAAAAGGTCTTCCTAAATTATTTGTTATTTATTAGTTTTAAAATTATTTTTTACTTTTCTAACCCTGTTTAAACATTTTCTTTTGCATGAGGTGCTCACCTATAATTAGTTACGCAATTAGACTAAGTTTTTCAAATGTATTAATACCTACATGAAATATTGTAGTAACTGTTGGTGTGCCTAATAAATAAATTAAAAAAACGCATAAGCAGATTAAATGTGTTGATCCGCGCACTTGAATCGTTTTAACCCGTGTCGTCTGCGTAAAAAAACACGCTGTGTATATAGGCTCTTATATCTATGTATATAAAAACTTTGCAAAAGTTACTGTTGTGTGGAAGTACTGTTTGAAGGTGGAAAATTCACAGATGGCGAAATGTAGCTTGAGTAAATCGCCAATTAAAACAACAGGACGTTTTATTAAGGACTGGCGTGTTCATTTAGCGTCAAAACATAAAATTTAAACCAAGTAAAAAAAATGGAACATTTATTTATAAACCTCTCTAGGTCTTAAAGGTGGTACCCTTGTTTAGAATGTTTCAACAAGAACTTTGTTTTGTAAATCAAAATAAAACTATAAATTTAGATGACAATGATTCAATTTTTAATTTATTTAACAGCCACCGCAACTTTGAATTTATTGCAAACCAAATTTCCCGATTGCATAATTTCACGAAATTCTGCCGTTAAGTGGCCAGCTCGATCATGTGATTTAACACCGCTGGATTATTTTTGAAGGGGTTATTTAAAGACAGAGTCTATACGGAGCCAATCGAATCGATTGCAGCCGTAAAACTCGAAATTCATCAAGTGATTAACGAAGTAGACCACCATTTTGTCTAAAAGTGATTAAAAACTTTGATACAAGAATCGACACCTGTAACTGTGGTCGTGGTGGACATTTGTCAGGTATCATTTTTTATTCGAAATTGCCAAACCTTACTTTTTTTAATACAATAAAAATTTGATTCATTCTCATCCAAATTTACTGTTTTATTTTGATTTATAAAACAAAGTTCTTGTTGAAAACCCTTTATTTTGATACATGCGGATAAAAAGGCGCATATCTTCAGTTAGCCTACAACGCACAAATGACGGTTATTCCTATCAAAGTGGAAGCATAAGAAGCCTTTTCCCCTAATGGCTACCTAGTTTGTAAGGTCAGGAAACGTTTAACCATTTAGCTGATGAAACTATTAATACCTTATCGTTTTTGGCGAAGTTAGTTCAAAAATAATTCTTAAATTTACCTTATTATGATAAATTGAGGTTGATCTCAATAAAGCCCTTCGCAAAACTTGTAGTTTGATGATATGACCTATTTTTCTTGAAATCTATCAGCATTGTGCGGGATCTAGCAAGTACCAAAATCCCGTGGGTACAGAAACTGTCAATCCCGCAAATATCAAGACTGAGTGAGTGAGTGACTAGCCGACTGTGTTAAAAATTGTGGTGAGTCCCTTATGTGGTCATTTTTATTGTAACGTGGAATACGAGTACATTTTACCGACTGAAACTTAGGACAATCGGTATGGAATACTATAGATTCGTTGGTATATTGAAATCACTTTCATAAAACCAAAGCAGTTGTTTGCGACAGTACTGTAGAGTAAAGAAATAAAACTAACAGTTCAGTTTATTAATTTAACAGCCGAGGACTCGCAGACATGTGATTTAATAATAAAATATGCACGAACCAAATTTCCTTTAATACCCGACCACTGGACGAGGGGTATAATTTTTGAAATGGATTACGAGGTACGAGTAAATAGATTATATATTAAATCTTTTTTATAATATTTTTATTTGACGTTCTTTTTATTTATATTTTATTTATTATATACTTGATACTGTGTGATACTTCAAATAAGAGGTAATGTATATTCAACTGCTTTTATACTTACAATGACGTCATAAGTATATTTCTTATTTATGATACCAAGTGCCTAACTTGCCCTAGGGCCTTACCATGACCTCTTATTACAGTTTTTTATTACAGTATAGGTTTGTAATGACAAAAAAGCGGGATGGTGATATACTTCATGTAGCGCTGTCTCACAACGAGTCATTTTAGGTCCTAAACTGAATAGTAATAAGAGTTCATGGCAGGGCCCCTGGGCTCAATGATTTACATACGTATCCAACTAGATATACATATTTTACACAGGCCAAGGCACACGTTTGCGCGGCGGCGGTGTCTTACATAGAATTTGTCTCAATAAATGCAGGGGAATAATACAAAAAAAAAATTACTAAAAGCGAAAAAAATACACAGTGTGGAAGAGATTTTTTAAAATATGTTTTTTGTAACATTTTTAAAATAAAATTTAAAAAAAACAAACAAACAAACGAGCGATAGATTTGGTTGTAGATTATGTCAATTTTCTTTAGTCACTACGATGTTGTATACAATCAATATACAATGATCAAATATTTAAAAATTTAACACGGCGGTACGTGTAAAAATGGATTTACAAAAGGATTTCGTGGACTAGCCTGAGAATAGTTTGTTTTTAATTTCATAGTTTCGCAAAAATCAGGCGAAAAAAAAGCGATCGTTTCCGGGCAAAAAGAAAAAAGGGCTTGAAAAAAAAACATGTAAAGAAAGGCGCGATATTTTAGATAGATAGCTCCATTTTGTTGAAATACTGGCTAGAGTGTACTTCGTATTCTATAATCTAAAAAATTTGTATTCTTTTATATTATTCAAAAAACTTCTGATAAAATAACAAAAGACTTGAAATAAAATCACTAACTAATAAACAACCTTTTTGCCAATTTTGTCTAAATTTCCAAATTGTTAACATCCCTAACACGTTCACTAAACTCAACCAGTCACTTGAACTATCCAGAGAGTTAGAAATCAATGGACTCGGAACTCTAACGTCTACGGCAACAAATATTATAGAGAAATTCTGACGTCGGCAAATGCCCCGAATATATAATAAGTAGAACCAGACTGTTTGGAATAAACACATGTCAATTTAAAGCTGAGGCCAGTAGGGTCGCGAAAGCGCGAAATCTCTATGCGACAATAGCATTATATCGCGCTTTATATCACTTTCGATTAACTCGCGCACTATTATGCTCCTTGTGCTAGCCCTACAGGAGCCAAGTCAACTGCCCGAAAGTACACGCAGAAATGGCACGATCCTAACAAACACAAAATTGAAGTAAATGAATAAAGAGATGACAAGTGAGATGCAACTAGGTAATTCCTGTGGTAATTCCGTTCGCCAATACGTTTGATAGCCGCGAGGAGGACGACGGGGCGGGGTGGCCTGCTTCGTCGTGAGGGGAGGGGGAGGACGTAGCTCCTAGGTGCTGGGAGGCTTCCGGTGCGCAAAATCAATCTCGGATCCTTCCCACTAGAGCACCCGGGAAGGCCGGAGTCGGGGTCTAAGAAGCATAAATAGGAATTCCTTACGGAAAAAAGGTAAGTCCTGTGCTATGGCTCTCCTGGCTCCCCCTCTCCGTGATAGTAAGTAATTTGATTCGAAAATGAAATAGAATAAAAACTCTCTCGAGTCATAAGCTGGAGGCAAATAATTTTAACTTTTATTTAATATCCAACTTACGCTTAATTAAAAACTAGTAAAACATTTGTTTTACTATTTTTTTCGATTATTAGTAAGTACTTACCGCAATCAGCATATTGGTCTGGTCGAAGAAGTCAGCGACTGGCATCACGTGTTTGTAAAAGTTGCTTAGTTCCATCCTAGCCAAGCTGAGGACCACGTGGCCTAGCCGGGCGCCGTACTCAATCTGACGCTCTAGAACTCGCTGCCGCCAACTGACTAGGATTACCCCAGTTATTGTTTGGATCTGTTGACAAATGGTTAAAATAAGAGAGAAGGTAAGGGAATAACAAACTTTCATTATACAGAGTTCAACAACGCAGGACTATATTAGTAACATCATAAACAAAAACTTGATTTCAGATTTTCATACAACACCTTTAGATCAATTTCAATTTTAAACGATACCCAACTTGCCATTATTTGAAAAGTCGTGTCAATAGTTTGAAAAGTCGAGGACTATTACAAGTTTAGCAACCTCCTTTAGTTTCTAAGATAATTTTTGTTCACAAAAACATGTCATACATCATATCTACACAAAAATTGTCCCCAATCACTGGGCCAGTGCAAGGACTGCTGCTAGAAAGAATATCTCTCAAATTGTAAGTAAAATGACTGATTACATTTACAAATAATAATATGGAAACATCCTGCCTGCTAACATAAATAAAAGCAAAATATAAAAAATTAGAACACCTGAGGCTCGAACTCCAGACACTCAGAATTCATACTTTGTACAAAGAGGACACTAGACCATACCCTTGTATATGTGTGTAAGTAAGTTTCGAGCCGAAAAAATAGATTTTTATCTAATTGAAAGATTGTATATGAAAAGTTATATGAATTTTAAATGTATCATGAATTCCTCCAATCGCGTATACAATAAAAGTATAACTTTTGGCTACCAATTTTGCGAATATCGTAATAAACTATTATTTCGACTTACCAACGCTATCTAGTGGCTATTAGATTGCATAAAATCGTGACGGAATTATGTAATTTTCCGTGATTGTGTTTTAATCCTATTTTATAATTTTAATTTATTTTCGCGACGCAAACGCGATACAAACGCGATGCAAACGCGATACAAACGCGATGCATACGTGATACAAACGCGATGTAAGTTTTTAAATTAATTAACTAATTTACTTAATGTACCAATTTATTAATTTCACTTTTAAATTCAAAATTAACAAAAAAAATAATAATGTGCATAAACCTATACAGATTTTTCGTACGTAATGATTGAACATAAGCGTTTGCATCGATGCAATCGCTTGTAAATCGCAAGTGTAGCGATGCATTTTTGCATCACTGCTAAAATCCGCCGTGTGTAACCAAGTCTTACTCCCGAATTTAAAATCAAATAATCAGACTATAATACAATAAGAGCTGAGGTAGTCTTGTGAGAGAATGGTTGCTATTAGAGTTGCCACAAATAGTGATTTGGCCGAATACCGAACACCAAATATTCGGCCACGCTGTCGGCCGAAGCGCTGAATAGTTCGTAGTGAAGAAAAGTTCTACTGCACATGAGAATTATTTTTATTTGAAAACTGTTCGCCTTGATCGGACGGCAGATCCTTACAAGTGGTGGTCAGCAAAATCAAAACAGTATCCAAGCCTGTCAAAATTTGCTAACATTTATCTATAGTCTCCTGGCAGTAGTGTTTATAGTCAGAGGCTATTTTCAGAAGCACGAATTGTTTATGAAAAAAAGCTCAATCGTTTGTTACCAACCAATGCAGAAAAAAAAAGCTTTCATTCATCACAACCTGCCACTGATTGATTTTAAGTAGGTATTAACGCAACAATTTGTGATTAAAGCCCATGATACATTTTGAATAATATGTGCTTTTTTTTCATTATTTGATATTCGAATATTCAAAAAAGTGGCCGAGTAGGCCGAATACCGAATAGTAGCTGAATATTCGTGGCATCGCCAGTTGCTTTTGAATTGGAATTCTATGGCAATAATTTATGTACAATTTGAATTTCAGCAGCAATACCTTTCGCGAATGGTGGTAAGCCATTTGCTCTCACGTAAAATCCCCGTAGTGATAGCTTCTCAAGACATACGTCTTGGGCCATATGGCCCGTAGTGATAAAATACATATTTGACTTTTAAAGTGTGAAAAATTGCCAAATTGATTGAATAGCACATATGCACTTTTATTCGAATTTCGCCTCCAGTGCAGCGGAACAAGATCCGTCAATGTGTAGCTTGATGTGCTGCCGTCTGTACATAGAGAAGAGATTTGACACTTTTCCACATTTTCGGTTTCCTGCCCATTTTATAGTACACCGTTTATGAGTCGCTACAATCTCAAATGGCTTTGGAAAACATATATAGTCAAATTGAGGATATACACTGATTAGTATACGGTGTGAAAACACGATTCGTAAAAATTTTCACGATAGAATAAAATACACAAACTTACCTCGAAATTTTAGAAGAAAACCGCTGTATTCAATAAGTACTTTACATAGAACTACGATTTCTTTTTATATCAACTGAACTAAATAGAACACTATTCATTTCTCATTTTTCAAATGGCTCTAGTCTCGTTCGGGAAAATTTAACTTCAAGCTAAGGTAGTATCGATTTTAAGCAATTTACAACAAAATCGATCTAAGAAACAGAACGTGTTTACAAGGGACATGATGGCAAAATAGCTGAATCAACGATCAAGTTCATATAAAAAACATGCAAGCCAACAATTCAATCAAACCCTGACACTTTGTCACGACTATAGTGCTCGTGACATGTAAGCAACACGTCATTATCACGTTATGACCGATGTTATACTCAAATAAGAATGAGTCATGATTCCATGGGGCTATACCCACATTGTACAATTAAGCGGTATGGGGATACTTGATTATGGGGAAAACAACATTACAATATCAACACTAATCTGATAAAATTTGAAGTGACATTCTCTTTTTTGTCAATAGTTTCCGATTTAATTTTTTATTGAATTGATATTCAATTATTTTTTATGTGAAATTACCCCACTAGTTTGCTAGAATTATTAATAAAAGATCGAACACTC